ACACAGTTCTAGCTACATAAGTGAGCTAGAAAAACCTGATTTCCAGACCTATGGTGTAAATAGGCTGCAGAATCCGAAAGAGCCGAACGGCGTATAGACTTGCTTTGGTTACTTGAAACCATTGGAACGCAGCTCCTGTCAGTGCTCTACTGTCGTATGGATCAGAGTTCAAGTCACAGGCCAGGAGTGTGGGGTGGCCTGTTTCGATTTAGGAGTCTGGGCAGTTAGCCAGAACTCACACAATCTATGAGACCTTGTGTGGCCCATTTCTTAGTGCTCACAATGTACCAAGTTTGCTTTAATGATAATAATAATAACTGTAGTATGTCTTTCGGTTATTTCACATCATTTTGGTCCAGTCTGATGTTACGTATTCCCACTGTGTCAACAGTTCGTGATCCACCAGTAATAGTCAGACCCAAAATCTGCATATGCCAGGTAAACGGCATATTCACCGTTATTTGAAGGAGTGATATGTAAAATGCCCACAAACTATTTTCGAGGATGTTAAGTTTACAAAAGAGGAGACATCAGAGAACTGACTCCTATTTTTTCAACGCCTTAATTAAGCTAACAAATTTGGAAAAAATGGAACAGAAGTAAACAGAAAGTCAACTTATATGGATCCAAAGCACAGTTACAATAGCAACAATCTAGCAGTATACAAAAGAACCTATGTACAAGCATTATTTGGAAAAACCAGGACATACTGCAATACTCGTGTCTTGACGGGTAGGTAGGAGAGAATCATCTCATGGTCGTTTTGCAGAAACTTCACGTCATTCCAAACAGTTAAAACGGAATCATTCTGTGAAACTACAAGCAGAACAATATTGCAATATACCCAAGATATTTGTGAAATCACCGTAGGACTATTTAAACTGTCGGACTGAACGCTGCTAGCAAGCGAACACAGTCAGTTCACTCTACAAACTAGACATTACAAGAACACAGAAAGAGAATCATTTATAAGATAGAACACCCACTGGCCATTCTCAGTTGATGAACTCCAAAACCTCCAATGGCCGATAGTAAGTCCTAGAAAGGGGGAAGGTCAAACGTGAGGCTAGCAACTACACACTGTCAAAAACACTACCACTATTGATAATTCACACTTAAAGCTTGAAACCCTGTGTTCCATTAGGAATAGAAGAAGACACAGAGAAGAAAAGCTGATATTACTTAGTAAAGCAATAAAAATTTCATAAAACATATGGACAGAAATGATGCTGAAAATCAGTATTCTTTCCAGATTCTATTTATTGTCTGAAAGTCAACTATGGTGTGTCGACGTTTACACAATTTTCAAGAATTTTGTTTATTATTAGAACAAAGAAAACATAATTTCGCAGAAATCATGAAAATACTGTTTAAGAGAATAAACACCATCGAGTTGGTCAATATTAAAGACGCTTGTGTTTTATATTAGGACAGTGTGTATTTGTCAATTCACCTGCTCGTGTGGAGCCAGGTATGTCGGCCGTACCCAGCGTTCGCTTTCCAAACGTATCACCGAACAATTACCAACATGGTTTTACAAAGGAGAAAAACGATGCCCCTGCAACTCCATCATAGAACATCTGATAGATTCCGGACACCAAACGACACCCCAAACAAACTTCAAAGTCGTCTACAGAATGCTAAGTAGTCTTCCTAAAGGTGTACGAATCAGGGTCCTTCAAACTGCAGAAGCAATGGCGATTCACTTGTTAAGCCTTGAACTCTGCATACAGAAGAAGTTCGTTCAATCACTACACTTGCAATGGACGTAATCTATCTTATTACCCGACAAGTAAATTCTACTTAATCTCTTTTTTTCTGTCTCTTCATTAGTATTATTTTGTCTTCCCAATTGTAATATTTTACATTTTCAACCTTCTGTTCTCTACCCTCACCCGATTTAATTTCTGCACCTCACTACCACTGTTAATGACTTGACCAACGCTCAATTTCTACTCATTTATGTTGCGTCATCCAACTTATTTGCTCAATTTCACTTCTACTTAGTCTCTACCTGTAATTACCTCTGTTGCTGCCCTGACCTAAGTTGAAACATTTTAGTCATTTATATTAGATCGTCTAACTTACTAACTCAATCTTACTTTAGTTGCTGTCTAATTAACCTTGCTTCTATATTAGATCATTCTTGTATTACCTGATCAATTATTTAAACTTGACCAACCTCATGTACACACACAAATAATTGTATATAAATGCGATTGTACAGCTATGTGAATGAATTCGCCAAAAAGAGTCTCTTTGCTGAAAGTCTTCTCTTTCTCATATGATTCAATGGGGATTTTTAAGTTGCCTCGATCTACTAAGAATGTGATTGAATTCTCTCTAAAGAAACTGTACTACCAACAAGTTACGTGCTTTTGAAAAACTCACTGGTGGTGTCAGAGACACAGCTAGGTAGAGTTTAAGGGCCCAACTTTACCGCTGTTTGTTTCAGTGACTACCGAACAGTGTATTTTAGTCAATGCTGAAACCCAAATCATGGAGGTTCTATATATAGAGGACTGTGGAAAAATTCATGAAAATCATTCAAGTTTTCATTGTACATTTTTCAGGGTGAGGATAAATGCTATTGTGAGGTGTTTTCACACGCACAGTATAGCACAATCCACAATTCATATTATAGCTGTATAAAACAAATTTGATAAAACACCCTTAAAACATCCAGGCGTGACTTATAGTATGATTACAGAATTCCTCTAAACACATAATAAAAAATCACATAAGACCAACTCTACTTGAGGGAATTCAAATCGCATTTTACCGCCTCCGTCCTTTCCATATATTCAAGTATACTTGAAACAAAAGCGCATTAAGTTTGGTTTGCTATAACTTATACACCCGGTCAATTTTCGAACACCTGCTTTAATTTTAAAAGGCATATGATAATCCTAAAATATACAGGCATTAAACATTTAAAATTCTATCATTTATTCCATTTAATATAAAATAGATTGAAATATTGAACATTGAATAGGAGTTGACTTACCCAGCATCAACTGCAACATACACAAAAAGAAAAGTGGACACTTAATTAGACAAAAACCACTACAGTTTTCAGCACAGTAATATTAGGAATTTTTAAAATTCATGAACAATTTTTGATGTTTTCATCTCAGAATTCAGTGGTAAGGAAGGCGCTATAGGATATTTAAGTGCACCAACAATTAAAACTACTCTGTTGTTAATCTATTTACCATTTGGTTGATAATGTTATTGTGGTACGCATGAAATTCCGTATTTTTCTTTTGAAAGTTAACTGTTAAAGATGACTGGAAATTGGTAGCACAAAGGGGAATTTGGCATTTCAGGAAAAATTCATCGAAGATACGGAATACTCTCTTAGCTGTTCATCAATTACGTTACAAATATGGTTTTTGACACAGTAACTAGGGAGAAGATTTTGAAACCATTTCGGTTAGAGAGGTACACCGTCTGTTTAGGATATGTAAATGTTAAGCTACGGCATATCCTCCTGTTGGTGATAGTTTAGTTGAAGACGCCGCCGCAAACATTTCTCGAAACTGAATAGGAATCAGCCTGGAATATTATTCTACCAAGTTGTTCAGAGGAAGTGTTCACCCAACTTGATGTAGACAAGACATGTGTTATTCCTATCAAAGGATGAGTTACTCATGCCGCAGTGGAATGATTCCCTGAGAGTTGCAGAGAAGGTAGCAAAATCGCCAGAGGATACAGCCGGGCACCTGCGTTATGCATCAGGAGAACTTAAAAAGGACAGCATAGACTGGAAGAATACTTGACCACTGTGGTAGAATGTAATTCTATAAGCTTATTTCGAATATCTCACGGTTATTAATACTGCATCACCGTGTGATATTTGAAATGAACTTATCTAATATGGAAGAGTACAATCATATGGATGAGAGAAAGCGTGTCTTTGAAAGCAATGGATTTGTAAAAAATGTTGGAGAAGATGCTAAATGGAGTTGAAAACACGTATGCAATACAAGAAGAATAAGAAATCGGAAATCTAATCGGTCGAAACAATTCAGATGAAGCTGAGATGTACTGAATATTAATCCTTCTTCTATTGATAATTATAGTAACTAACTGTCTTTCTCCCTTTTCAGGGGCAACGCTCCGAAAGAAACAATGGGAGATAAAAGCGAATGAGAACAGTTAAGGAGGTGATGTGGTATTCAGAGAGACTTTTAACTGTGCTAAGTCTATCAAGCTGACAAAAGTATCCAGTTCTGCTACGAAAAAGCCAGCTTATGTTACTGAGTGAACATGTTATAAACTTGATAATTTTCATGTATTGTAATTCTTATTGCTGTAGATAAAGTTATTTTTAACCATTATTCGTGTCTTAGTACTTCATTTTGAGGTGATCTGAAGTGATCATGTCTTCATTTTCAGAACTGCATATTGAGCTCCTAGAGGAATACTGACATACATTTGAAGTTTTATGTAAAGAAAGCTGAGTGAAAGTCAATAAAGTTAAATCGAAGTGTTGAGACATGTGGTACACATGCAAAGTTATTATTTAAAAATAAAATAAATATTCATGAGGAGTGACACCAATTCATGGAGTTTTATGCTGAAACATAGACAGTAATTTAATTTTAGTGCAGATTTCACCACGGACCGAAATCAGTTAGATATCACTGAAAACCAGAAGGGAGTACTGGTCATCTGTGTTGTCCATGTTTAAAGGCCCTCATCAGTGAACCCCAATAACCCCATTAGTGATTGAACCGAGGATCTTCAGGTTACGAGACGAAGCCTGTTGGCCTTCCAACCATTATATCGAAATTCAACTACCCATTAATTCTAAACTTTATCAATTGTTGGTTCTGTAATCTAATGATTGCTGTAGGAGTCTGATTTAGACTTAGGACTAGAATGAATGTATTCCTCGCTGTTTATTAATGAGGGATTGATATGTTAGAATTCTCGTATATGCTGGTTTGCAATAATCACCATTATCCACCCTTAAGCACATTAGTGAAGCTCACTTCTTATTTGGATAGTATTCTTGACCAGGCATTTTGTATGCAGAAATTTTTAATCATTTTAAAAGTATGCCAGGTTCTCAAGAGTAGAATACTTGGAAATAGGCGATTAGTGTCCCAATCGGTTATTTATACGTCCCCTTTCACTTAAGTCACTGCCACGTTTGCTTTAGTAGACATAGTCTTACCAAAGTTAACAGATAAATTAACTGTTTTCTAGTGTTAGTTTATAGGAAATTTATTGATTTCAGCTTTGCCGATGGGTTGATATCAGTTAGAGAGCCACTTAAAAATCAACAGGGAGTACGGGATAGCTGTCTTGTCCTAGTCTGGGACTCTTCAGTAGTACATGTCCCCACCAGGGTATAAAGGTGTTTTAATATTCTAAATAGAATACGGTTTATCTCTATTACAATTTCAACGATTAAGTTACTCTCAATTATCAGTATGACGCATACGGTTAACTCTACATTCAACTATTTTCAAAAGCATATTACAAGTGAATTTTAAAAACTATATTTGGATCAGATCGGTTTGGTGGAAAAAGTTTGAATCACTAATGTCCAAGTTCCTACTGTAATATAAATTTTTTCATTAATCACGCATCTCTGATTTCGAAAATCAAGTCCAAACCCAAATAAAACAGTTCTGTAGTAATTCTAAATTTCAACAATGCTTCATAAAATGTATACTGCCTGCATAAGCCACTTTAAATTATACACTAGTAAACAATTATTGCTGATATTATATTTTTAATGTAAATTTACATCTGCTGTTGACTGATTGTGTTGAACCGAAATGCTTGGTCTCTACTGACATGCCGGCTCCTAGTACGGATGCTTCTATGATGTCTAAGGATTAATATGACACTCTTCCGTGGATGGTAACTACCACAGGAATCTAGTATGCCCCATACTTCCTCTTGTGGCTTTCGTAACCGAGCGGATAGTGCTTTGGCATTCAAAATGATGGGTGTAGTGTTCGAGTCTCAATGGGAACCCTATCATAAAATTGTAATGCAGGTACACCCACATGATGAGTCTCAAATAAAACGAGATAAGCATCGTAGATTCCACTATTAGTCACCATCAATCAAAAACAGATTTACGACTGATGTTCTTAAAGTTCGTCTTAAAAAGTGGTGTAATCAGGTGATGGAAAGAGATAAACCTGAATAAGACTATTACCATTACACATTGATCTAACACCCTGATGTTTTGTCACCTGATTAACAAGACACGGCTGTTGAGAAGACCTCAATTTCGTTTCATTTGTATATAGTGTTTTTCGGGATAACATATGAATGAGTGACACATAGGTATTCTCCTAGATTGTGTGACTAACTATATCTTTTACTCACCCACTCCTTCTTAATCTGTACTGCACTGGATTAGATACCAGATATAAGAATTAAGAGATCCGCTTTTTGTAGGGATAGTTTTGTATGATTTCAACTTAAAAACTAGTGGTTATGTAAAAGAGAAACCCTACATATTACTGACTGATTGAGATGAGTAACTGTATACTGCTCAAATCAACCAGCAGTGGTTGCTAGCCAGATCGAAGTGATCTAAACACAAAACGGCCGTTTCGATCGTTTGCAACTGAGCTCTGGTTAGCTACTTGGGTGAACTGACAACAGCATAAATCAGACTCTCAGTTCTTGCAATTCGAGAACTGAATACTTTCCGTTTCCAAAGGCAACTATGATGAAATGTCATCTCAAACTGTGTAAATTGCAAATTCGATTTGATTTAAGAGGGAAACAACTGGAAATGAAATAAAAACCTGAGTCATTGTAAGATTGGTAACGTCAGACCTGAAAACTGCGTCAGATCATTTAATTTCGCCCACACACACACACAGAGGGAATTCCTCCTTAAACAGGTTTCACAGATTATGGTGATCATACATCGCATTAGGACTTAGATACATTTGCAACTGAGGTCAGGTCTTATTCAAAAAATTCAAAGCACGTGTGAATTACAAAATAGAAAACAATCACAGCGGGAAGTATACATATATAAAAAAATAATAGCAATAACAAATTAGATAAAAAGAAAACTAAAGCATATCCTCCTCACTTGATTTCTATATAAATCCATATCAATAATACTATTGAGTTTCTTGTCTTACTCTGGTTTCCTACTTATCATCTATCAAAAAAACTGATTATAAAAAGTTTTCTTTCTCATGCAGTGTACATGTGGAGATAATATACTAGGGTAATAAAAGTACATTTAAAACCCGCGCTTCAATGACTTCAGTGTTCAAGACTTGATTGAATTCAATACTTGGAAAAAATAAACAATAATTAATAAAAGAAAAAAGCTAGTAGACAATAGAACAGAGAGAAAAAAGTCGATGAAAAAATAAATAAAAAATCCAGCGGTTCTTAATGATGAGAACTGAAATATTGCAACTTAAATTGTAAAAGAAAAAAATTATCCAGACCCCTGGAACCTTTTTAGATATACAAGTCTAGAGAGAAAAATAAACTACGTCAACAGATAGCAGCAATAATCGAGAATTTCAAATCTGTTTAAATTCAGTTTATACACTCCCAGGTGTATAGTAATAATAATAATAATAGTGATTATAATTTCTCGAAGGAGAAAAAACCAATCAGATATTTCTGTCCCTGGAATAAATAAAGTACACATTAAAACTACCTTTTACGATCATCACTGAAGCTTATATATACTCACTGACATACTCACATGTACAGTCGAAAGTAAACCACAAATTTATCAGCATACATTGGAGAAGCTGAGCACAAGATATCAAACATTTGTTGTACAAAAATGAGACATCTCATATGCTCTACTTCGTATGATAAGATAACTATTATAATTACTTTGCATAATTCAGGGAAATTAAAGATAATATGAACTTTGTTTTTTGTTTGATTATACTTGATAGATTTGAGGAAAGATATATTGTAATAAAGACTTTTATGGATTTTGAATTAAACTAATCCTTTACAAGCAAGACTGCTTAGATAAATGAAAGTCTTTTTAGGTTGGAGACTCTGGTGAACAAACGTTTAAAGTGTCTTTTAAACTCTGAAGTGCCTACTTATACGAGAAAATTTAAGAATTTAATTGAAAACCAGCTATCCTGAATATTTTATCCATTCACTAGTTGATTAATACGTGAAGTTTCTTTGCAAAAACCGACATCGGGGAGAAAACTATAGATTACTGTACACCTGTTTCATCCTAGGCTATAAACCTCTAGCAGCGGTGCCTCACCGGGAATCGAAACCAGGACCTTTGGCTTACAAGGAGACCTCTTAGCCATTCAAGCACAGGGATGAAACAAAATAATCCATCAAATGGGACTTTAACCAATTTGCGACATCTAGCAAAACCGCCAGCCAGTATCATGGGCGTGTATTTGTCCTGACAGCCAACTCAGTTGACCACACTGATTAGGACTTCCCAATATAGCTTCAGGCAACTTCAGCCTCTAGTGAGTACTTAACTAATTTTCAAGTAATGGTTCGCAGGGATTCGATAGGTTTCAAGAGTGGTCAGGAACTGGCTTTCGTTAAAGAACCATTGAGAACGGAAGGACACTGAATAATTGTTTCGTCCCTGCTTAGCACTCTTCATCAGTATGCACACATGATTCCCCTGAACATCAGACCCAGGACCACAACGAGAGCTCGCAGACCATTCAACCAATGGGATCGAATCCAGTGATTAGCACATCATTTCTGACCAATAACTGCTGAGTGCGCCCTGATTTTCCACAGTTCTCTAAACGAAGTCAGTTCACCACCCAACTTGAAATCAGTCAAATACCTGCAAACCACCACTTGATAATGTATGAAAATTTGACTTATTGTGTTTCAGTCACCGGTAAAGTTCTAAACAATCCTGAGTCAGGTAATTAACTACCATTCACCAGGTTTCAGTAATTCTTCACTTGCCGTTAATCCATCCTAACTCAATAAAAATGAGTAATGGAAACTACTTTTGATAAATAAAACACCTGGACAAATATGTTAATTTACATGAAGTTACAAAAGCTTTAGACCAGCTTGTTAACAAAGTTATAATTCACACATCACTGAATTCTAACCCAAAAGGCTGAATGTTAAACAATCTGGCCTTGTAACCTGAAGATCCTGGATTTGATCCGTGACTGGGTCGTGGGTGATGTCCAGTGTTCCCTGGTTTTCTTTGATTCTCTAACTGATACTGGCTTTGAGGAAAGCTGCATTGAGTTTATTATCATTATTATTGTTATTCATCAATGTTATGAACCCCCTGGGTTTGTTGTTGTATGCCTTTAATTCCATGTCGATATGAAGAGCTATATTTAACATAGCAGTTGATCTTATCTTTTTCTATAGGTACTGCTTGCTAAGTGATATTGGATCGATGTTTAGTCTGTTGATTGATTCGATCTTTTTAAATTTCTCTCTATATATACATACATATATAATTACTATGTACTAGTTTTTTACTGTTAATTAAAACGCCAAAGACCTTATCAACAGTTAGTATTCTGTCTTATTTCGCAAGCAGGCTCATTTGTGCTGTTATGGTTGACATTATAACTGTGAATAATCTGCTAGATCGTATTATCGGTCATAATAATTAGATCGATAAAAAGTCGTTTTTCAGGATATTTTTTTCTTAAGTAATTCTTACGTTTTACTCAAATAAAACTGTTAATCACACAGATAGTGTATACAGAAAGTTTTTTATCCGTAAACTTCATCATTCTTCAGTATTAGAATATATGTATATATACATATATATATTTCTGTAGATTATTTTCTGATTTCTTTCCTTTTCTATTTGTTAGTATACTTCAGTAGTAGAGTGCAACAGTTGAAAAATAGAAGTTGACGATTACCCGATAAGGACAAAGTGAATTTAACAAGTATGCACTAGTAGTCCTATTGTATTAGTTTCTATTGTACATGTTAGTGAAAATATTCATAACAGAAAAAAGCTTATTTATTCATTTGTTTTAATTTTTTGTAGCTTGATTCCACACAGTATTTTTGGTACAAGTA